ATCCTCGATTCACTCGTTGTTTTCGTACACCACCCACCAACCTCAACAAACCCTCTCAATACCTTCAAAATGAAGTTCACTGCTGTCGCTGCTATCTCCATGGCCGCCCTGGTCTCGGCTCAGAGCATCAGTGGTATTCCTGCTTGCGCCTTGCCCTGCATTCAGAAAGGTGTTGCGTCCACCAGCTGCAGCGAGACCGACTTGAAGTGCATCTGCAAGGATGAAAACTTCTCCAAGATCCAGAGTGCTGCTACCAGTTGCGTTATTTCAGGGTGTGGCCCCGAAAAGGCTCTCAGTAAGTTTGATGTCTTCGTCCTACCTACTAAAGCTTGACATGGAAAACCACCATGACTAACAGGACCGACTCATAGACGAGGTTCTTCCGGCTACCCAGAAGCTCTGCGCTGGAAATGCCGACGGTGGAAGCTCCGAGGCTGCCTCCTCTGCTGCTGCCCCTACCGAGATGGCCACCCAGATGACTGAGGCTCATCCTACTGAGATGGCCGAGCCTTCCGGGTCTGAGGCCGCTGGTGATAACGAGTGCCATGCCACCATGGCCAGCCAGCCCTGCCCTGCCACCCCTTCCAGCCCTGCCTCCAACGGCACTGCTCCTCCCGCCCCCTCTACTCCCGTCACCGCTGGTGCCGCTGGCCTCGCCCCTATCGGCGGCCTTGCCATGCTCGCCATCGGTGCCCTGGCTCTCTAAGAAGCTTCATCCGCGGGGATCTGGGTGACACAATCAAAGGTGGACCTTGAAGTATCACGGGATCAAGCTAATGGGAGATATGTATACATCCTGGGGACCGCTGTCAAGGATGAAGCATATTGGAAAATACTGTGGATGGGTCTTTAAAAATCCCCTTTTACTGAGGGGTCGTGTACTCGCTCGAAATAAAAACAACCAGTTATCTGGGTAATGCTAATGAGCCTCTGTGCTTTTTCGACTTGATATTCATCATCTTGACCCCATGTGACTTGAAAGTGCCTGGAATTGAGTGACGGAGGGATCGCATCATTGTATTGCAAACCATTTCTGCATTCCACGCTCTGGACGGAGATGTTGTTGTCCATGATGGCCCAGACGACTAACTGCCCCCTGGAAGCAGTTGAGCCCGGCAATCTGATCTGACAGCGCCAAGACGGGCCAACCAGCCGTGGCCAGATTCGCCGGGGGTGCATCGTTCACGTCTTCGAACTGCAATCAGTTAACGTGCTTGCCTAGACGGCGACGCCAGCGGGTCGATTAAACTTTTTTCTCCCCTTGGCGCTGCCATCAGTGCCAACTCTAATACGATTCAGGGCCTATCATCGTATATGCATCTATATTGATACCGCGACAGATGTGGGGGGTCAACTGGAACTCATTATGCGCCGAAACGACCAGACACAATATACGGTCTGGTTACTGGAGCTCCCAAGCCCAACGATGAATCATGAATGATAGCCCGCGTCTCAATTCATGACCCCCCGAAGGAAAGCTTGGGCATTCGCTCGATTCCGCCGTCGATGAAGGGCATGGTTTGGAACAGGGGATTAACGCATCGGGATAGGCGCTCGCGCGACTGCCGCTCCTTGTTTAATCCACGCCCTTGGACGGTTTCTGTCGTGCAAGCTCCCAAATGGAGGTTAGTTTCGGCATTGATACTACTAGTAGTAGAGAACGTACGGTTTCCATGGAAAGTACTGTAGAAGAAAACATCCATGTCTGTTTTTATCGAAGCCCACACTTTTTGACGTGGGGGAGCAGGGGAAGAATGAAGGGTGGCGCCGGGACCCCGAAAGGACTGGACCAATTGATGAGTCTAGGATAGTTGCGCGCTGGAATCGACGGAAATGGTCAGAGCCTTTTTAGCTCAACTCCGTCGTGACTACGGAGCAGGTGTCTCGAGCTATCGTCGAGTTGTCCTTTCGTTTTGGCATGGTTTTGCCACCACGTTCGTGGGGGTGGATAATCTAAAGCAGGAAAGAAAGAAATAGTCCATAAGAGTTTCTGCTAGCGTGACGTGCAGACGCTTTGTGCGCAGAGTGGACAGAAACAGTCACTCTGCGTGGGGTTCTACCGCGTCCGTGATGAGTTGCGTGACTGGTCTTGACCTACGTATGCCTTCTTCTGTGGCCGTGTTTCCGTTACCTCTTGGATTGAGGAGAGTTGGGTACATGACCCTTTGGGATTCTCCAACATAAGCCGTCGATGGTACGTGGAAGCCGAGAGGCCCTCGAATCCAGCGCCGCGCCACAGGGTTTGTCGGGTACCTGCTTCCGTGTGGCGTGCGGCGTGTTAATCTGCCAAAATCTCCTGTCAGGTTGGCGGGTTGGCGGGTTGGCGGGTTGAGATCGACTTGTTCTGCAGACACTTGTTGTGGAGGGGGCGTGGGCGGAACATTGAACATCGTCAGGCCAGACTAGGGACTAGCGCCGGTAGTCTGGAGCTTGGCCCAGAGCCCCTTGCAATGACAATTGACATGCACGCACTAAGCGATGAACTGGCAAGACGATGCTACACCACTACGGTAGGGTAGCGCGTTGCTTGAGGTATGGCCTCGCAGCTAGTAGCATTTCGCAGCTTCAGCAGAGTCTTTTTTTCGGCAAACAGTGAGGGTTCTTGACTATTTGCGGATTGACCCCTCCAGTGCTCCCAAGGCCAGCCTCAACTGCTTCCCTGATCCGTGACATGCTGGCGCCGGGTGGACGTGGCAAATTGAGCGGTCCATCATGGCTTCCGTATGCCGCTGTCTCCAGGAGCGACCCAGTTTATTTCCAATATCTAAATCCATTTCAGGCTACCGGCCTTGGCTATGATTCCATGAAACTATTACTAGCACGAAATCGCTTTTTTCGGTCTGTGACGGCAGTGAAAAATGGTTACTGCTGAGTGAAAACTTTATCAGCGGCTAATTCTCCAAACTACTCGCGACCTACAGTCGTCAAATCCACAAGCCAACTTGATTTTGCACTCGATGAATTTCCATTCCAACACGAGGTGAATGTGAATGTACCAGTACTGCTCAAGACGCCCCGGATCAAATCAGTGACTTCTCGACGCTTTTCATACGTCTGTTTTGTAAAATCGTGTGTCTATCAAAATCCTGGCTTGGAACTCCTTGGGTGGGATATTCCGTGACACTGCTGTGTTGTTAATCGCGGAGATGATGCGGTGGTTTCTCACCCAATCAAATACACACAGAATAACATTGTAGTGTTTGCTTCCTAGTGATGCATGTCTGTTCCGGACCTCGACGTTCCCTGCTTCTATTTTTCCATCAAAAAGTCACCTCATTTTACGCAGAATCAAGACAACATGTCCCACGGCGAGGTATGCCTACCATCCCATCGCTCTCCTCTCTTCGCCAACAACAAGCGATTCTCGTCTAAAGAATATACAGCTGTACAAAAATTCTATCCTCGATTAATGCTTGTAAAACAGCGCCACAACAAAGAATATAAATACGCGCTCACTCAGGCCAACGCTATTTCACCGCACCAGCTCGATCAATTTCCACCACCCACGCATGCACCTTTCTCGCAATAGTCCAACTGGTATCTGCAAGAAAACATCATTAGCACAGCACAACGGACCCTATACAAAATTTCAAAAATCCACCTACGCTCCTTGGTGCAAAACGCATGCTGGATATTCCCCTCGTCAACCGTGATGCTCGTCCGGCCACCCTTCTCACCAGCCCGGCGCCTCCGCTCGATAAACTCGTCCCGCACATGGTTCGCAACCCAGTGGTCCTCTCGGCCGTAAAACATGAAGAACCTTGGCGCGGGCAGCTCCGCCGCCGAGGCAGACACCTCCCACAGCTCGTCGTCCCACTTGTCCTCGAAGATGGTGTCGAGCTCCGACTTGCCCATGTGCAGCGCCTGCAGCACGCCGTCCCTGCTCTTGAGCCACTCGGCCGTCACGTCGGCGGCGCGCGGCGAGAAGCCCATGGCGTTTTGGATGATCCAGCGCAGCGTCCCCTGCGGGAAGAGGCCCAGGAGAGCCTTGGCGTAGGTGACAAAGTGCGTCTCCATGGTGGGCAGGCTCCGCATGTAGTTGATGCGCGCGCCGCTCTGCGACAGCGCGAGCGACGCAATGGTGGGGAAGAGGAGGAATCCGTGGCGGAGACGGAGGTGCGGCGCGCGGCCGGGGTCCTGCATGTGTCTGTGGAAGATCTCGACGGCGATGTAGGCGCCGATGGAGTGGCCCATGAGGACGACAAAGTCGTAGGGCTTGTCGCTGCCGCTGCCGTCCTCGGTGCTGACGCGGCGGGAGGCGACGTCTTGGTAGATGGCGTCCACCTGGCCGTCGACGTCGAAGGGCGGGTTGTCCGGGGTGAAGGGCTCGTGCTCATGGTCGCAGAAGCCGGCGAGGTTGCGGCCGTAGATGTCGTAGGCCGTGGCGGACTGGGAGGTGTCGAGGAGGTTGCGCAGGGCGTCGAGGAAGTCGACGTAGAAGCCGATGAGGCCGGGGTTGCCGCAGACGAAGTAGATGAGCGCGCGGTTTTCGGCGCCGCGGAGCTGCTCCGAGGGCTTCCATATGGACGACAGCATGGCTGCTGATGCCGCGGTGTGATGGGACGAGGTTTCAAACGGCCAAGGTCGGCCGTCCCTGTGTGATGTCGTCGCGCCTGGAGTTGTGGGGCGAGCCGAGGCGATTTTGGGGCATCGGTACTCCGTCCTCCGTATCACGTCCTCTTATTTCTTGCTTGGAGTTTCGGCCATTTTTACGGCAAAGTTGGATTCCTCCCACGAACCAATGTTTCCCCTGGCAAGCTGTATCATGTAGTCATGTCGCACCAGGATGCGAGATGACCAAGACTACGGAGTAGTAGCTCACGTCATACGGCCGATGGCGCAAACCCCCCTCATGCGGGGAGGGAATCGCACATCCAGCCTGTGCACCACACGACATGCGCCTGGCTCCCTGTTCTCGGAAACAGTCTATCCAACGGGTTAATCCGTAAAAAAGAAATCCTCAACCTTGCCTCCCCTCGAAGCAGCCTCTTGAGAATAATATGGGCGGCCACGTGTAAGTCAGCGCCGTCTCCTCTCCTTGTCTCACCACACTCTCGCAAGTTCAACTGACCTTCGACGGCCGCAGAAACGTATTGGACGATGTCCTCATATCAAACTGTAACCAACATGGACCAGGCCAGCCTCGCACAACCGAGCCCGCAAAGCTAAATCCAAGCAGTGCCGCCCGCCTACCTCCGTTCGTCTCTCCGGGCGCTCCTCTCCCAAGGCCCCGGGATCCAGAAACTCTTCGTCGAACACGCCCGTTCGCGCCTCCAAGAAACACCGCCCCAGCTCACAGAGGCCGCCAAGCTGTTTCCAGCCCACGACACATGCTCCCCAGAATGCATCGAGTATCTTGCCCTCACGAGATGCCTGTTCTCGTCGAAGCTCGCCAGCGAATCCCTCACCTAGTACGCCCCCCCCTCTGCTTCTCTTCCTCGACCATCAAATGTCTAACCTGCCCGCCCATCAGCTTGACACACTTTGTCGACTCCGTCATCCAAGCACGCGCCTCATGGACGGCCCAATCCCCCCTCTCCCAGAACGTGGACAAATTCGCCGGCGACACCGTCCAGGCCATGCAGGCGCTCAAAGAGTCGGCGCCCGAGAAGAGCACCAAGCTCAAGGAAGACCTGCAAGCGCTGCTGGCCAGCTTCGCATCCTGCCAGACGTACTGCGCCAGCTCGAGGCTCGAGTACCCCTTCGGCCGGGCGGAGAGACAGGCCAGGGACACGCTGCAGCTCTTCTTTGCCGACGCCGCCGCCATCCAACAGGCGTCGTCCACCCACGGGGACCGCATCATCCACCTCGCCTCGCCGCCCGCCGGGGCCGTTGAGAAGTTCACCCTGGGAAACAGACGCTTGCCACGCCTCTTCAACGGCCTCTGGCAGCTGTCCTCGCCCGCCTTCGGGGTCGGCAACTGGCACCAGCAGCAGCGGAAGCTCGTGAAGCTGGTCGAGGCGGGCCTGGTCGCCGCCGACATGGCCGACCACTACGTACGTGCGAGAATTCCCAACCGCCCATGTCTTTTTTTTTTTTTGGTCTCCTTTTGTTCCTGACGCTGTAACCAGGGGGATGCGGAACTCGTCTACGGCGATTTCCGCAACAGACTCCCCGCGGCGACGCAGGCCGAACTGTACGCCGCCACAAAGTGGTGCGTCTTCAAGCCGCTCAACACGCCCGTCACCACAGAGTACGTCCTGGCGGCCGTGAGAGAGCGCTGCAGGCGTCTAGGCGGGCGCGTAGACTTGCTCCAATTCCACTGGTACGACGTACGTCTGTTCTCCTTCTCACCCCCTTTTCTCCCGAAAGCCAAACCGCCGTGTTCACCAACGTCCAGTACGAAGCAAAAGAATACCTCCAGATACTCCACGAACTCATCGGCATCACGAAATCCCACCCCGAGTACCTATCCGCCGTGGGCCTGTGCAATTTCGACGCAGAGCACACCGACGAGATATGCAGGTACCTGATGGACAAGACGGGCGAGGTGGGCATCGTATCGAACCAAGTACAAGTACGCCCCCCTGCACCTACTACTGATCTCCGTTTCCGTCCCATCTACAGGAAAACGGACCAGCTGACAGAAGCAGTTCTCGCCCATCGACACCCGCCCCTTGATGGGCATGACGCAAGTCTGCGAGCGGTACAACCTCAAACTCCTCACCTACGGCTCCCTGGTGCGTTCCTCAGCCCCCCCGCCCAAAAAAGCAACAAGGCAACCTCCCTCACAAGAAGACCAAGCCTCGTCAGAAACAACGGGCAGCTAACGTCCTCCCTTTCCCCCCCAAAAAAGTGCGGCGGCCTCCTGACGGAGAAGTGGCTGAACCAACCACCGCCAGACATATACTCGCCCTCGAACCCTCTCAACCCGTCGCAGCGCAAGTACCTCGACATGATCAACCACTGGGGCACGTGGCAGGAGTTCCAGTCCCTCCTGGGCACGCTGTCTCTCCTCGCGACAAAGTACAACGTGAGCATTGCCGACGTCGCGAGCCGGTGGGTGTTGCAGCAGCCGTCCGTGGGTGCCGTCCTCGTCGGGACGAGATTAGGCGTGTCGGATCGCTGCGCCGATGCGCTCCACGTGTTTGGATGGAACTTGAGCAATGCCGACATCATGGCCATTGATGCGTTTGCGCATGGCAACAACGGCGAGAAGCTGCATGCCGTCTATCAGAAGATTGGCGATTGCGGACAGGAATATAGAGGCATGAGGGCGTAAAAGAGACACTGCGTCTTTGCACCCGCAAGATGCGTCCGATTCATACAACGTACTGATATTCGAGCAATGACTACTACTACAAGTGATTATGTTCCCTGAACACTAAACATGCCAACTTTTCTCTTCTCTTACACGCTGATTACGCCACCTTGATCTTCTTGGTGATTTCCACGAGACCAACAGTTTTCTTCGCGACAATCGCCCACCTGGGCATGAACTGCTTCACCTCGTGGAATGCCGGAATCGTGTTTGCACTGTTGGCATCGGACCAGGCACATCTCGCCGTCACGATAAGTTCCTTGGCTGCTCCTCGTTTTAGTTCTCCGCCGCTGGGGTCATCATCCACTTCGTCGACCTCCGTGGCTTCTACACTATCCTCGTTCATGGGAAGCACATGCCCACCCAAGTGAAGTGTAACATTCCAACCCTTTTCCCAATCACGCCTCCAAAGTTGAATCTGTTGGAGCCCTTCAGGTGGGAATGAGCCGAATCGGTCATCGCGCTTTGCGCCACCGTGAACTGAAAAGCCAAAGATTGGGAACGAGGTATCGAGATAGCAGACGCGAGTGTTCAACGCATCAAGGCTCACGAGGATTGTTTTTCCATTCTTGGATTTCGACGCTTCGATGGATATCAGGCTTTCCAACTCCTCACCATCCGCCACGTCCGGAGGTAAGAGAGACGCGTCATACTGGCAATTCCTCAAGTTTGAGAGAAAGGGGTCTTCATCGCAGTGAATTCGTTGGCCAGCTGGGGTGGGTATGGAGCTAATGACAGGGCGTACAAATTCTTCCAACCCATTGAGGGTGACAACATTGGAGCCTTTATCCAAGTCGACAACTTGCTTGAAGTAAAACTTGAAACGATTGTTGTCGGAGAATGGGAAGGCGGTCAAGTTGTAGATAAGCGTTCCGATAAATACGAGGAAAAGGAAGAGCGGGACGTGGTGGCTGACGCGATGGATAAACGGCGTGAGTGGCAGGAGGAGGAGGATTGCTAAGATGCCAACCCCCATTAGCGGAGCAAGTAAGCTGCTACCATCTGTTCCGGTCTTGCCTATGGATGTGGTTTGCACCAGTGCCAGATTGCCGAGCACAGTCACATATAGGGGAACGAGTAGAAGGAGTTGGATAAACCAGGTCCAGGTGGGAAGTCGACCGGACCAAGCTTGCTCGTTTTCGTAAGGCGGAAAGCTGCGTTTTCTGTTGTTGCCGCTACGAGTCTCAACTCTAGTTTCTGGCACGGGTCTCCTATATGTGTTGGCAAATGTGGTGGTCTGCTCGCTAGATCCGTGACCTTCTTCGCCAGCCCTGAGAGGTGTTGTTTCTGTTGGAGTAGCAGCAATATCTGTGTCCCCTCTGTCCTCGTTATTTTGCTCGTTAGCGTCGTTACCTCCATCACCTAATAGGTTTTCTTGTTCTTGTTCCTCTTCCTCTTCGTTTTCGCCGCTGACTTGTCGTGCAAAATCTTGCTTGGCCGGAAGTGCATATTGTTCCAAGAGTGAAATCAAGACTGCTGCAAAGGCGAAGGTGTGGAGGAATGCCAAAGGGTATACAGCACCCATATTCATGCGATCCTCAGCAACGGCTGCGAAAACTGAGAGAACCCAAGTAATGATGAAAAGCCAGATCAGCGTAAAGCCCCGTTGAAGAGCACTTGGGCGCACAAAGTGAGCCCCACGAAGCAAAAGCCACGACACAAAGTAAAACAATGAAATCATCATGGCCCACCTGCAGAGAGTAAGTAAAATCGTTCTGCCTAGAAATTAACCGCGGAACACTTACACAGAATATCCACTGCTGTAAATAATCAAGGGATTGACCTTGGCCAGCAAAAACACTGATCCAATTGTCAAGGCAGTGGCAACGACCAGAGCAAACGGAAATCGGACGAATCCTTTCCATCCGCCAAATGACACGGTTTCTTCACCGTCTCCTACAGTAGAATCAACCTTGGTAGCAAAGAAGTACCATTTGTCATCGCGAACCAGCAGATATGTCACCACAAAAAGAACAAGTGGCGTAGTAATAAGAAGGGTGAGAGTCCACGCAAATAGCCCTCTAAGCGCAAACGCGGACCAGCTACTGCCATACCAATCAAACCAAACACCAGCCGTTGGGCGGCCACTCTGAACCAGATCTTTTCTGCCATCAGAGCGCGGACCATTGAACTGGGTGCTGGTGGTCCTTGCCAAGGACTCGGTCGTGGCGAGAGCAGCTGATAACATGTGCCAGATGCTGTCGACTGACGTGTGCCGCGCATCATCCTCTTCTGTGTGATATCGGGATCGAGGCGAATAGAAAGCAATATCGAGACCGCGTTGGCCGTAGTTGTCCACAAAGACCGAGTAATCCGTGCCACTCTTAATCACACCTCGCTCGAAAGCATTCGACGCTACAACGGATCCGAAGGGATGAGGGCTTTTGGAGTACGCCTCAGCGGCCTCGAGATCCGTCGTTCGGAACAGCATAGCTCGACCGCCAGCTCCCGCCCCCTCCAGGTTGACGAATGTATTGCAAAACTGCACCAAGGGGCTATATCCAAAAGCTTGGGCCCCGAATAGCCCGTCCTCTTCGGCATTATTGAAAAGCAGGACAATGCCGTTCTTCGGTTGATGGCCCTCGGAGGTAAAGTGACTGAGCAGTTGCAGCAGGGAGATGCATGCCATGCCGTCATCGGTGGCACCATAGCCGGTAGATACCCTTGAATCTATCAGTAACAAGCTTGACATACCCGAAACCTAACGAAGACTCACGAGTCAAAATGGCAATTCACGAGAACGCCAGCGCCATTGCGAGCAACTCGTTGAACATTGTCAGAGGTCCACCAATCCCCCTCCGGATCCTCAGAACCATGAATATACACGTAAAAATTGTTGCCTTCAAAGTACCGTCCCATGGTATTATTCGGCTGAGGATTAGTCATTGTCACGTTTGAAATGCGATCATCAAAGAGCGTGGCCCCGCGCGGGCGAGCAGAGACCTCGGCGGCCTGGACGGGATGCTCAGCCGACGACAAATACCTGTTCACTCTGGTAAGCAACACGTCTTCCATCATCAGAGTAGCTCCGAACGAACCTGCTTTCCCAGGGCACACCACCTGTTAGATCCGTAGTATAGTCAATCCCATTTCTTTCCAGAATGTCCCTGGATCGACGCATGAGATACTCGCGAACTATGTCGTTCGAGTGGCTATTAAAAGGATGGTATGATCTCGTAATGACCTCCAAATCCAGCCATGCTTCTGTCAAATTGACGCCCTGCGGCAGCTCCTTTTCGGAAGGCGCGGGCGGCACCGTTTCCTGGACATAAATCAAGGGGATGATAATGGCGAGATAGACAATGGTTGTCCAGAAGCTGACCGGGCCTGGCCGGAAAACAAAAGGATTACCGAGCTTCATGGCGAACTTGGTTACGAATGTGTGCAACGCAGGCGAAAGCGTATTCACGATAAGCAAAGGCGAGAGGATGGATAGAGAGGCGCCCTTACGCGGTGCCAAAGAACATGGCGAAAGCGACCTTGGAAATGAAGCGCGCTCGGTGGCGTTTTAGGACAAGAGACTAGGACGAAGCGCCGGGCAACAGGATAGTGGGAATATCCTCCTCTGCAAAGAAAAAAAGGCCGCCTATAGGATTGATTGATGGAAAAATAAACCTGCAGCAAGATGGGACGGGAGAGATGGTTGGAGCCGGGGCGGGAAGATGGAATGCGCGGCAGGTTGAAAGGTCCAGATGTCCAGACTGCATGTCGAGGTGGTGGTGCACAGGACATGACATGGAGCTTCCATGTCCACTTGGAGCTCGGGGAGCTTGGAGCTTGGAGCTTGCTAAAAACGTCGGCCGGTGCAGCTGCATGTCTCCGACCTCGACTGTCCGTCCAGTGGCCGTCACCCCGCACAACCGACATGAACGGGGGACTGGATAATGTGTCATGTTTTAAGCCCATCATGCCAATGACAACCACCGACAGTCTTTGCCCTTTTTTTCTATTTAGATTTCCAGCCAAGGCAAATGACACAGGCCGTCTTGTATGCACGTCTCTGAAACAATATTTGCCTCTTGTGAAGCATAAACAAAGGCGCAATGCAATGGCCGATACTACATTCATGGCCACTCGAAACCCACGGCCGGCTTAATGCCAAGACCGTCATCTCGTACGACCGAATGCGGCCACTCACCATGTTAAGCCGAGCCCCAGACCCGAGCGCCGCAACGTCATCACGGCCGTGGCCATTTCACATCTCACGAGAGTCTCAGTTACGACTACCAACTTTTCCTATTAAAAAGAAACACTCAGCTACACTGCATACTGTATAATGTGCTGCATTAGCTCGGTCGTACCATCTCCTACATGCTAGGTTATATCAAATTACTTGTCGAGCTGTCTCAAGAATCGAGTTGGAAGGCAAGAATTGTTAGTAAAAAACATCTGCCCGACTGTTCCCATTCTTTCTAGGACGGAACCTCCTAGGCCAAGCTGTTCAAAACGCCAGACTGTCCTGTACCCGTAAGTGAATAAACAAACTGATTGCTCCCAATAAGGAAGCCGCTCTTCGTTAGCAGTAAATACACCATCGCCTGCGTTCCGAACTCCATCATGAGCATGAGCTTGCTCAAGCGCCAGGAGGCGGAGGAGGGGGCTGGTTTCCGGGAGGAGGTGGAGGCGGAGGCGGCGCATCACCTGAAGGTGGAGGAGGTGGAGGAGCTTGTGCAGCGCCTCCAGCATACTGTTGAATGAGGGCATTTACTCCAGCGAGGCCGGGAGGAGCTGCCAGTCCGGCACCAGCCTGGGAAAGTCCGGGCGGCGCACCCATACCAGGAGGAGGAGCGTAACCGCCATACCCAGCATATCCAGGATACCCACCCTGGGTTCCAGGAGCCTGATACTGCTGTTGCCATGGGGGAGGAGCTGCTGATCCAGATGAACCGTAACCTTGGCCGTAGCCGTTTTCGCGGTCGCGGTCGCGGTCACGATCACGGTCTCTGTCACGATCACGGTCC